TTATTCTTTTATTAGTCCTATGCTTTCTATATTTACTAATCAATTTATAGAGTTACCACTGCATTATTTTAACATCTTCTAATTTCTCTATTTTATTCTATATTTTAATTCTTAATACATATTTCTTTTCTTCCAATACCCCATTAATATTGTGATCTGCCACAATAGTCATATCAAATAATAGACTAGTTTTATTCTTTTTATTTGTTACATATATATAGTCTTTTGTGATATTGTCCATCCTTTTTGGCATTATTTGTTTGTTCCATGTCATAATGATGTCGTTGTATTGGAACACTGTTTCATATGGGGGTTTCTTGTATTGATATGAATAAAATAATGAAATAAGAGAATATAAAGAAAAATATAATAATAATAATAAAATAAGATATAATCATTTTTATTCTTATTATTTATAGATGATATTTTATTATTTTATATTTGTTTATATTGTTTGTTTATATTTTATTATTGTTATTTGTTGTTGTTTATCTTATATCATTTATTTATTATATGTTGTATTGATATTTAACAATGTTAATATGAAATGAATAATAATGAATAAATATAAAATAAGAATAAAAAGATATAAGAATATAACATAAATAATAAAATAAGAAATATATAATAGATATAAAGATAAAAGAAGAAGAATAAAATAAATAAATATAAAATAATATAAATAAAATAAAAAATAAATAAAAAAGAATAAAATAAATATTTTATTATATTTTTATTTATTTTTTATTCTTATTTCTTTTTATTATTTATTAAATTAACACATTGAATATTATTATTTCAAATGAAACAATAATGAAATATGACCATTTTTATATTCATCATTTCATTTATTGATAGATGAAATGTTCATATTCATTTATTAATTTTATTTTATATTCTTTTTTATATTTCAAATAAACAATAATGAATAAAATCATTTCATTTCAATTACAATGATTCGTTTGGGTGTGAAACATTCAGGATATTGTTTTCTACAAAGTGCATTTTCAATTCCTTTATATTCAAATGAACACTGATTACAATATGATATTGTTTTATAATTTTCTTTATAAACAAGTAAATCATATATACATCCAAATGCAAACAAATAATTACCTGATTGATTACATAAAATAAATGAATATAGATATTTAATATCAAATTTCATCATTTCTTGTATTCCTCCTTTTGATTTTAATGAAAATAAAAATGATTTTGGATCATTTATATAATTATCAACTTTATCAATTTTCTTATTAATATATCCTCCAAATTTATTTCCATTTATATCTTCAATAATAATTATTATATGTTTCCTATACATTATCCTTTGATTAAATACTGATGTATTAACATTCCAATTATCAATATCTGAATCAAATAATATATTAAATACTTTTCTTTCTGTCCATTCTTCTATTTGTTTCATTTCTTCAATTGTATTCATTCCTCTCATTATATGTAATCTCTCTTCTTCTTCTTGTTTCTTCAATTCTTTCTCTACCTCTTTTTTCTTCTTCATCTCTAAATAATCACTGTAATTATAATATGTGTTCCATTCTTGTTTCTTTTTGTTAAATTTTTCTGTGATTTTATCTTTTTCTTTTGGTGTTCTGAATATTTTATCTTTCATATCCATTTCTTCAATAGAAATGATTTTATTGATTATTTCATTCCGTGTTTTAATTAGTATTTCTTCATCTTTATTACATTCTTCTATTATTTTCTTCATTTGATTCTTTATTATTTCAACTACTTTAATTGTTTCTTGACTTTTTTCTATTACTAATTTTCTTCTTCTTTCTGTTTCATCAATTCTATCAATTATTCCTTCTCCTCTTTTAATAGCTTCTGAATATGTTTCATCTGGTTTTATTTCAAATATTTCATTTTTAATACTTCTTAAATAATAATGATAATGTTTATTAATATCATCAATTGATTGTTGAATATTTGGAAGTGTTTCTATTTCTTCTTTAAAGAAATGAGTGTTCTTGTTTATTAACTCATCCATTTTAATTTAATGAATATCAGATTAAAATCAGATAATTAACAATTAAATACACATTTATAACATATCACTTTATTTATTATTTTGTCATTTTAATAAACGTCACTTTATTCATTTTATTCATTTAATCAAATTATTTATTTTTTGTTATTTTAAATAACAATAATATATAATAAAATTAATAATAAAATAATATCATTTAATATTATTGTTGTTTGTCTATAATTAGTTTATTTGTTATCATATTTTTTATTCTTTTTATTTATTCATTGTTATTTTCTTATTTAACTTTTTATTTAACTTTTTATTTAACTTTTTATTTAACTTTTTATTTAAAATAATACAACACATCACCTATTATTCTATTACTTAGTTTTCTTGTACCTTTCTTATTTCTTTCTTATTTATTACTCTTGTATTTTCACTTCTCTTTTTTTGATTTTATTTTTATTTCATTATTCTTTTCTTTTGTTTTAATTTGACTAAATCTTTAACTTTCTCTATTTCATTTTATTTTTGCTTGAATATATTTTTGTTATATAATATCCTTTTTCCTTTCTTTATTATATTTTATTTATTCCTTCAAATTGACAATATTTTATTCGCTATTCTTTTTTTATATAATTTCATTCTTTGTTGTTATTCTAAGATTCTTATAAGTATATCTTTATTACTATTTAATTTACTCAATTTTTCTTATTCAATTTTTCATTTCTTATTTCTTTTTTTTTTTAATCACTCTTCTCTTGGTATTTCTTATACCTTCCTATTAAATATTTTATTGCTACTTCGTCATTCCTCTATATCACCTCGAATGCTTGTGTCTTGTTTACTTTTCTTTACAACACTCAAGAACTTTACCCAATACAAAGGCAATAAAATATGTTATATGTTTTTTACATTGAAAAAGAGTCTTAACAAGAATTGAAGAATAAAAGAAAAAGTAGATAATTAAATGTTAATAGATTTATTTCCTATTGTTCATTGCTCAGGAGAGTAATCCCATCCCTTTGAATTAAGAGTGTTTGGTCATCAACTATTAGTTTATTCTTAGTTTTTAGTTATTGAGAATTGAAAAATTCCTTTCCTCATTTATTTAATGTAGAATAGAGTATTTCAGATATCCCATACTTAAATATCTCATTTAAGTACTTGTCTGATTTTAATAAGTATTAAAATTCTTCTTTACTTTCTTATTTTAAGGAGAATACATAATTAATATATATTATTATGGATTAATTTTCTTTTTAGCACCAACCACAACAACTAGACCTTTTTTTTGATAATACACATATTGTCAAATATATTTTATATCCTAACAAGTAATAACAACGTCTTTATAAATACCTATTCTTTTGTTATCAAGAATATCCCATCACCATAAATAATAATCAGTAGTATTCTTATAGTATTAGGTAAGATGTTTTTCAGCCAAATACAACATCATAATCAGTCCATAGTTGGGGGGACTCAAAGGATGAAAATGTCTTAGGGTTGTGTGTGGTGTCTCTAACGTGCTATCTTTGAATCTAACAAGAATTGAAAAATAAAAAATATAATAAATGAAATTAATAAAAACTATAAAAGGGTTTGAAGAATAAGATAATAAGGACAGTAAAGTAAGATAATTTATGAGTAATACCACTAACACTAATGAACCAGAATATATTAATTTACCTGAAAGAAAAGCTGAAATGCTTTGTTGTGTTTGTGGAGCATTAATTGAAGTAAATCCCAGTAGTATGTGTGCTAATTGTTTACATAAAACTATTGATATTACAGAAGGAATTCCTAAACAAATCACTATTGATCAATGTAAAAGATGTAAAAAGTTTTTAGCAGGAACAACATGGTTTTATTGTGAACCAGAGTCAAGAGAATTAATGACTTATTTAATAAAAAGAATCAAAGGATTAAATAAATTAAAATTAATCAATGCATCATATATTTGGACTGAAGAACATTCAAAAAGACTAAAAATTAAATTAACTATTGAAAAAGAAGTCTTTAAAAACACTGTTATTCAACAAGACTTTAATGTAGAGTTTATTATTGTAAATGGATTTTGTGATAATTGTCATAAAGCTGAAGCAAAAAATACCTGGCAAAGTGTTGTTCAATTAAGACAACATGCTGAACATAAAAAATCTATTTTAACTTTAGAACAAGAAATCTTAAAAGCAAACGCTCACCAAAAAGCTACAGATATCCAAGAAATGCCTGATGGAATGGATATATTCTTTCAATCTGTTGATCACGCAAAAAAATTTATAGATTTCTTACAAACATTAGTTCCTTTAAGATATCAACAAACAAAGAAATTAGTGTCTCAAGATGATCATAAAAATACTTATGATTTTAAAGTTTCTTTTTCCGTTGAAGTTGTTCCTATTTCTCGTCAAGACCTTGTGTTTCTTCCGAAAGTTAATGTAAATCAATTAGGTGGTGTTGGACCATTAATGGTGTGTACTCAAGTAGCAGGAACATTACATCTTGTTGATGTATTAAAAGGAACAGAAGTAGAATTGTATGCCCACCAATTCTTCCAACATCCATTTGATGCATTAACAAATTCTAAAAATCTTGTTGAGTATTACGTTGTTGAAGTTACTAAAATCGGTAAACCAGTTGGGCAGTATCAATTGGCTGATTGCCAAATCATTAAATCAGAAGATTTTGGTGTTACTGAAGATTATCTATATGTTAAAACTGTTTTTGGCAATACAATCAGAGAAGGAGAAACTGCTCTAGGATATGACCTTGTTAACCTCAATGCTAATAATGATAATTTCGAAAGTTATCAACAACGTGGACTAGAAGAAGGAACATTACCAGAAGTTATTTTGATTGGAAGAGGACATTTATAAATAAAAAGTGAATATTACATTTAATAAGTATAAATTTATTATTTGTTTTATTTCAATTTATGAGAGGATTTAAAATTAATATAAACTTGGAATAATTAATGAAGTTCTAACAGATATTTTTAGAAAAAACATATAACAAAAATAATAAAAAGAAATAGTAAAAATAGATATATTAAAAAGTGAAGGAGGTGAACTGTTAATTTAGAATGAACACATCATCAGTAGAAAAACAACTTGTTAATGGAATTGAAAGAAAACGAGAAACTACAGAATGGCAAGATGCTATTGCAAAAGTTAATAAAGCAGCATTAAGTCCAGAAGAACAAAAACTTTATGATGAAGGAAATATATTGTACAAAGAAGCTCCTGTCGTAGAGCATAACGCTAAGGAAGACAAATCATTACAAGAGATTGATGAATTATTAGAAGATGATGATAGTGATGAAGAACTTCAAAGAATTAAAGAAAAAAGATTAGCTGAAATGAGAGCTATTGCAGAGAAGAATAAGTACAAAGAAGTAGTTGAACTTACTGCTGGGGAATATAAACAAGAAGTAACTGAAGCATCAAAAGAGTGTTATGTTGTAGTGTTGTTATATAAAAATGGGATTGAGGGATGTGATATTTTAAGTGCTAGATTAAATGAGTTGGCTCATAAGAAAAGAAGTACAAAATTTGTTAAGATTTTAAGTCATTTAGCAATCCCCAATTATCCAGATAAACTTCTTCCTACTTTAATTGTTTATAGAAATACAAACCATGTTAAACAGTTTATTGGTTTAGCTGAATTTGGTGGAAATAACATGACTTGTGATGATCTTGAATGGGCATTATCTCGTGTTGGTGCCGTTGAGACAACAATGAAATCAGATCCAAAAGAAAAAAAGCATCCAAAATTCAGTGGTGGAATGTTTTCTCGAGAGCGAGATTCTTATGATGATGACTCTGATGACTAATTTTTGATGACATAATTATAATAGATTATTGAATAAAATTATTCTAAGTATATAAAACTATTTATTTTTTTGAAAACGATAATAAAATAAGTTCAGCAATAAAATAATAATTCAATAAAAAGGTATTTCAAGTTTTAATATTTTGTGTAACAAATACACTTACTACAAATATTGAAAATAACAAATTAGATTCAGAAATAAAAGATAAGAATGAAAGTTGTTGAAGATCTTTAAAAAATTACTGTTGGTTTTATGACCTTTTTCTTGTTAATTAGACTTTGTTTTATATGAATAAATAATGAAATTTTATTATAAATCAATTAGAATTATTACATTGTACTGAAAAGTAAAACAAAGCTAGTTATAATAAAAATTTAATCGTCAAAAGAAATAAAAGATAAATTTCTTTTAATAAGTGTGTTTGGAATTATATCAAAGACACTTAAATGTTAGACAAAAGGAAAGTAAATCATACCTATCCCATTCCAATTGTTATGGGCTCAAAGGGGGTGTTGTTAGATCAGTTAGTATAGCTTCTATGATTATTTAAATAATCGAAATGAAGAAAATAAAAATAGAGAATCTGGAAGTAAATACTATTAAAAGGAATATTAGTTATATTGAACTATTAACTTGTATTTTTTTTGTTCAACAAGCAAGCATTCTAAAGTATTAATATGTAATATTCATCCATACTATTATTTTTATGCAACTTTACTTTTATGGGTATGGGTAATAAGCAAAGTAAAGTTGGGATTAAATTAATTTCTTCTTAATTTACATAAAAAAGTTTTAATTTGATATATCATGGACTAACTATATTAAAAGAAAAAAGAAGAAAAGTTTAATGTTCATTTAAATTATTTAACTTTAAATAAAATAGAAGTACTTGTATTCAAATGATATGAGTTGACATAAAATATAAAATTTGTTGGAGTGTTAATATATTATCAATTATTATTTCTTTGAATAATTTATTAAGTTGATTACACAATTCTAAATAGAACTCAATTTAAATCGTTTAACTAATATATTTAATTATGAAAGAAACTAAAGAGATATTGAATTAAACCAACCAATATATTGAATTATTCTTTGTTTTTATTAAGTAAAAGAAATGAACACAAACCAAGTTTTAATAGCTATAAACAAAAAATAAATTTATTAACTGAATTAATGAAGTTGAGTATTTTTGAATCTTCAACTAAGATACAAGTCAGTAAGATTAGGGGGATAGATGATTCGTTTATTGAAAAATTAACAGAGCTACAAATGAATTGATTAAGATAATGAAAAAGTTGGATTAAAAATTGAAAGAAGGTTAAAATATTTGCACATGAGTATTAACTTATTTTTGTAAGAACTTAAAAAGAGAAAAATGACATTTCATTGCAAACAGTGTCACAACTTACTTTTCAGAAAAGAAGATATAGTACTGAATTCACCACTACAATTTTCTAAATGTGAAAATATAATATTTAAAGAATCTTTACGTGTTGCGTTACCAGTTCTTGAAATGAGATGTTCTCGATGTAATTCAGTTATTGGTATTGTTCAACAAAAACCAATGCTCTTTGTTCCTGATATAGAAACAATAACAGAAGATTTGATTACACCTCCTATTGAATTAGAAAATTTTTCAGAACAAATAAACAATACTCCTCTTTCTCAAGAAGATAATTTAATAGCCCATTATATTACATCAGCTTTCTATTGGGGTGCATTGCTTCTTCCTCTTGGTTTAGCGTTCTTTGGAAAAGAAAAATAGATTTATAAATTTTAACAACTTTAAATTATAATGTTTTTGGTTTTTTTATACTTTTTTGGATGTGTCTAATCATCATAATCAGTATCTTCAACATTTAAATCAACCTTAGGCTTTTTATTTAGTTGGTACATTTCTGATGTTCCAATATCATCTTCTTGCACAAAATCAAACTGGTTTGGATCTACATCTTCATATTGAACTCTGTGATTTATTCTCTTACTAGTTTTCTTAAATTCTTTCTTTGTATTCTTTTTTTTTCCTTTTATCCAATAGTCTAATTTTAATGGATCTTCACCTGACATATCTCTTACTATTGTTCTTTGGGCTTGTGTTTCTTGAAAATACAATAACCTATCTACACGTTCTTGTGCCTCATCATAACCTTCATTCTTTCTTATAATCTCTAATCGTTCTCCACAGTATAAACATTTACCTGGTCCTTCTTCAGAACAATGAATTCTTCCACAAGAAAGACAATTTCCAATTGCTTTATGAAGAGTTCCATAACACCCACACTCTGTTCTTCCTCTTGGTTTATCTGGTGTAGGACTTTTCATTTGTGGGAACATGTTGAGTTTAATTGAAATGAATTTCCAAGTTTGAATCATAACTTTAATAACAGAAACTAATAAAATTTGCAATTAATTGTGTTATTTAGTAAAAAGGATTTTTTATTTTATTTACAGATTTTCAAAAATACAAAGTATAAACAAGATGATTAAAATGATATTAAATAATTTTCATTTAATAATATAAACACAATTGTATGTAAATTAAAAAATTAAATTATAGAACTACACGAACAACACTTAAAAGAAACTTTAAATATAAAGTTTTATTCAGTTGGGGCTGTCTCTAATGAGATTGTTGAACGAGTCAATAATTTTTTGAATTGATTTAAGCTCAGCCTTTTTCTTTTTGGTGAACAACTTGCTCTTAATTTTTTTGTTGTTTCTTTTGGAAGAATTCCAGTATTTGTTCGTGCTAATGAAGGATTCTTTAATATAGAAGTTTTACCTTTTAGAGTTTTGATTGGAGCAGTTGTAGATTGATGTTCTTCATTAGTATAATTATTTGTAACACTTAATTTTGAAAGTTGTGAAACTTTAACAGGAGTAACATCATCATCGATCATATCTTCTTCAGCAATTGAGGATAAGTCAATTGTTCCATTTCTTGATAATGAAGTATGCATTCGAGTTAATTTAATTGTTTTTTGATGAGTAACGGAACTTTTTTGTTTACGGAATTTAAGAGGAATCATTTGAATTTTAGTAATACTTTTTTCACCATTTAAGACATCAGTTATATTAATCCCATATCTACTCATAATAAATGATGCAAATTCTGTTTTTAGTTTAATGTCTTTTTGAATAGTATCAATAGATTCAATATTTTTTTTAAATAAAGGTAATTCACGAGTTAAAAATTGAAGAGCAACAGATTTATACATTTCTTGATTATTAACTAAACTAACTTCTCTTTCTCTAGCAGATTGTTGAACGTTATTAAGTTCATTTTCCATATTATTTTTTTTCATATCAAAATTAATTTTTAGGTCTTCATATTCTTCATTAATAAGAGCATTTTGTTGTGTTAATTCAACAACTCTTTTCATGAGATATTCTTTTTGAACTTCTATTTCTTTCCATCTTTTTTCGTCATCTTTAACAATAATAATATTTTCAACTTCTCCATTAGAAATTACTATTTCGCAATTACACCTTAATGTTCCATTAAAAGGTTTTTCACTTTCATGTGTCTCACACATTTCTAATTTTTTTAATGTTGCTGCATGGCTTTTTTTTTCCATCATTAAATCATTTATTGCTTTTGTTTGACTTTGTGCTAATGAAGCAATTTCCAGTTTCATTTCATTAATAGCGGTAGCCATTTTATTAATATGTTCTATTAATTTAGTGTTTTCTTCTTTTTCTTTGGAGTACAGTTCAACCATAAACTTTAGTTTTTTCATTGCTTCACTCCATGACTCAAGAAGTTCTGACGCCTCCATTTCTTTTTCTTCATCATCGTCTGTTGATGAAGTATAATCAGAAGAACTGCTATATTCATCTTCTTCAGTATATTCATCTTCTAGGTCATCAGAGAGTCTAGGACTTGCTTTAAGAGAAGTTGAACGAGACATGTTTTCGTCCATTGGAAGAACTTAAATATTATTTTTTTCTTTTTTTAAAAAAGTTGTTTTTCTATTTTTGTTTATTCTTTTCTATTTATAAAACGTTAAGTGAAAATAATAAAAATAATTGAACTGAACATATGAAAGTATACTTCCCCTATTTAAGTATTTAATCACTCTTTTGTTCATATACTTTCATTAATTCTTTTGTTCTTTCATTATAAAATGAACTAGTTCAATAGTACTAGTAGAATCTCAGCTATTTGAATTGTTTTTTGACAGAATTTATCACATTCATCAAGGATATTTAAATTTTTTTTTGGCTAGTTTTCTTTGAGCAAGATAGTCTTTTACAGTCTTTACCAGTTAGTAGGTTTAATGAAAAATCTTCGTCTTGTTCAAATTTAATTTATCCTTGATAGATCACAGTGCATAAATGTTTTAGTGATTAGGATGTCTCCAGAATCAAATACCCAGGAATTAGGTTCAAAAACAATACTAATTGTTCATTAGTTAATTTTAAATACCTAATAGACAATTTGTTATAAATAAATTGTAATGAAATACTAACAATTCTAACCTCTCCTTTTTCTTTTGAATTATGATTTAATGCAATATTCATATGTCATTTCTTGATTTTATAAGTAATCCAATCACATCAACAACAGCAAATCCTCTGATTAAAAGTTTCTTTTCTCAGTACTAGTTTCTTCTAAAATAACTTTATCATTATAAATTGTCATCACTCTAGTGATTAAATTATATCTTTCTAATTTCAATATAATGTTAATTTCAAATTTTTGAGGTGGATTTTGAATGATTTTTTGTTGAAGAACTATTACTTACAGTGGTACAGGTTTTTACCTTTTTTAGTATAACTTACTTTTAATTTATAAACTAAAGACATTTTGTTTTAATACTTTCTTCTATTTCAATAAGATAGAAGTGTGTTTGATTAAGTACTTGATCAATCAATGCAATTTTCCTTTGTTGACTTTCTAACATTTGATAAGAATCTAATTTTATTTTTTCATTTCTTCTGCAGTGTCTAATACTTCTTGTGCAGTTTGAATATCAAATTTGGTTTCTTGATCTAAATGTTTAGATAATATTTTATTGTATTGTTTATATATATTTAATTCAAGTAACGCAAATGGAAATGAAAAAGATAATGTATTAGATTATAACATTCTTCTTTATTAAAAGTTAGATAATATTCAAGTCTTCTACCTTGAACATCTAATAACATTATTTGATAATTCAATTTCTTATATCTGATATTTAAATTTTAATAAATATTATTTTACTAGAAAAAGAAGAACTAAAACAAAAGTAATTTTGAGTTAAAAATAAAGTTTCTTTTATATTAGTATTTCCTGATTTATAAACAACTTTATAATTTTATACTACATCTTCATTTTCACTTAACACAAATTGACACCCTAATTCATGACTTAATTTTATAAATTTACAGGGATTTGCTCTATCTTCAGATTCTATACATGAAGTGACTCTAACAAGTATCTTCTATGATTTTATAGACTCTTTGTTATTCTTATTAATAATCACTTTATTGTATTATACAATCTCTCTGAATAATTTATATATTTGATTTAATTATCTGAATGAGAAGGTTCTAAATGAATAAATCTTCAACAACTCATCTCGCAAGAAGGAAATTTAATTTTTTGAAAAGAATTTTTTTATTTTTCTTAGATGATTATTGTTTGGTTTCATTCAAAATAATATTAATCACTATGTACTATAGTCAATTTTTATTCATAACTAAATAAGAGAATAAACCAAAAGAAGACCAATGAATATTCCACAATAAATTCTTGTTATTTTTATTGATCCTAATAAACTAGGTCTATAATAAAAAAAAACAAATTTAGAACGATTAACTGTTAGTGGCTTTTGTTAAAAATAAAACCACATTCATATGGCAGTTCATTTTTTGAGTTGATAATAATAAACATAATCATTTTTTTTTTTTTGATTTTTGGAAAAAGAATATTAAAAAATCAATAAATGTATCAATACCTTTCATTTTATTTCTATTCAAAAATTGATTCAAATGATTGAGATTGGGATAAAAAATATTTAAAAAGTCTTTCGATATTATAACTTTCTTTTTTGTTATCATATTTTCAAAAATTAGAAAAAAACTTATTAAAAATATGTTAATTTGTATTTATCCATTAGAACATCAATATTTTGTAGTTTTATTATTCTCTGAGAGAATGAAACATTCATTTCAAATAAAATGCTGAAATAGTTGATTATAAAATAAAAATACATAAACATCATTTTCAATGGAATTTTATGTTTGTTTTTTTGAAAATACTCTATCAAAAATTAAGAATAAAACTGTGTCTTAAGTAATTAAAAGTATACAGAGTAGAAGGGTATCACTTATTATAACAAATTATCTTTTGCTATTAGATAGATATTAATTATAGTTAACATTCTAATTAAAAAAGTATAAAAAGAAGTAGTTGACAATACGAAACTTAATACCATAAATAAGAATTAAAGTGTTTCTTCCCATTAATATACAACAAAAAGAAATAATACTTGCCACTAAAATAAAATTATTTTATTAATAAGAGAATGTTATCAAATAATATAAATATTTAAATTTTAATTTCTAAAAAAAGAGAATAAAAATAATTAAAATAAGAAGTACAGTTTGAAAGAATAAAAAAATGATAGTATTAAACTGTTGTTGATGACAAATGCAAAGAATTAATGAAATAATTCATTTAATTCAAAATAAAAATTTAGGAAGTTTTATTTTTATTTATTTTATCTGAAAATATTAAAATACAACAATAATCAATAATTAAACTTAATATCATACTGTAAAAAGAGTATAGTGGTATCTAAATGACTCTAAAATATAATTAAAATAATACTATTAAACAAAATGAATATATTACTTCGGTTAAACAAAATGAATATATAATTGGTTAATAAGATGAAGATAATATTTCTATTTCAGAAACAATAGATTATTTTCTAGAAAATAGATTAGATAAAGACTTATTGAAAGCATGTTCAAAAACGAACAAGAAATTCATTAATATTAAAAATAACACCATACACTTCTTTTTAGTGCTAAACAAATATATGCCTTAAAATAACAAATAGATAACAAAATAAAAAAAAAAGAAATGATAATATTTATTCTTATCATTATAACTAATGATAAACTTGAGTTGTTTGTTTTCAGTAAGTATAAACAAGTACTGATAAATTTTATGATAAATTCATTGTTTCAAAAAATTAATTCATTCACATTAAAGTATATAGAATACAATACAAAATATAACATTAAATAACTGCACCTTTATAAGAATTATAGTTGAGGTTATAACCAATATATTTTAATCAAAACTATCACTTTTATCATCTTAAACAAATGAAAAGAATAAAAGTATTAATCTACTTTCACTAAACAATAGATAAAGTTCATTGGTTATATCAACACTCTCTTATTTTAATTTTTTACTTTCCATATTTATCTAACAATACAACTTTTTTCTTTTTAGCAAAGTTTCTTTGAATCAATTTCTTGTTAGTCTTAATCAAAACTTCTTGACTATTATGAATATACCATTTATTATTTCACAAAAACTTAGTTTAATAATATTTTTTATTACTTTAAATTACATTTGGTTGATCTAAATTATTATTATTATTGTTACTTCAAAAATTCATTGCAATCCATTATATTCCCCTTAAAAATATCACAAAAATAAAAAAGGAATAAAAGATGTTTCAAAATAAAACGTTCAAATAAACACATAATAATAAATTGAAAAGTTAAACCATCACCATCATCATCTCTTTGGAATAGGTGCTTCTATTCCTAAACGCTTCAATTCTTTCCTTTTACATGAAGCACATTGACATTTATTTTGACAAATAGGACACCCATCACTTAGAAATTTATCAAGGGTAGTATATTTTGTAATACATCCTTCACAAAATTTATGTTTTGGATTAATAGGACATCGTAAACATTCATTTTTACGTGTCTTACAACGATGGCAAGAAACATTATAAGTTTTTTCTATTAGAGGTTGTGTTGGTTCAATTTCCATAGGAGATTCTATATGATTATGATCAGTTTGTGCATTATTATATAACTCTTCTGTCATAATTTCTATTGTTGAAAACTGTTCTAAAAGAGCAAAAACAGGAACTTGACATACTGAATCATATTGTTTGTATTGAATAGCATATTGAGATGGAATTAATTTCTTTTCTGCCATTTCATTTTGGATAGTCTTAAAAAAGTCTGTTAATGTAGCAGAAGCAGGTAATTTAATATCTAATTGTTGTTGAGTATTAGGAGGTGTACCCACCAAAATAACAACATCCATAATAGCATTTTGTAATGGAGTAATTTCTTGGACCTGCAATTGATATTGCATTGTAAATGAATTTTCGCACTTCTTTTATAAGTTTTAATTTTTTCTTTTTACTTGTTTAGCAAAGGTTCAATTGTCTCAATTTTTAATTCCTTCTTTATGAATAAAAGCTTCACCTAAAAAATTAACTTATAAACGGAGCTGAAACGATTCGGTTTTTCTCAAACAAAAGAATAACTTTCTTCTTTAATTTTCTTTACTATTATTATAGTTTTTTATTTACTCAGTTGCACAAAATTTATTTATTTTTTGTTTCAATTTCTTTTTAGTGTTTTAATAATCCTTATTAACTAGCTCTTTGCTCCCAATTCTTTTTTTTTTCGTATTTGACTCTTTTTTCGCAAAACCTGAAAACTCATTCTATTTTTAAAAGTTTTCGATAGTTCTTAAATTCTTCCCACAAAATTCTATTCTTGAATACCCCTCATTTTTAAGGGTTTTTGACAATGATACGAGAACAAGCATAAGGAGCCTATAACATTTTATAAAACTATTAGGTAATTTCCTGTGTTTATCCATTATTAGTTTGTTTAAACAAAGTATTTTTTTCCAGAAACCACAGAAACACTTTCTTTATTTTTGTTATAGAAATAACAATGCCATCTTTAGAATATATCTCTTTATTTTTAGCCTGAAAAGAGTTTTTAAAAAGGAAAAGGATAAAAACACCTAGAATTAAACTTTATTCCTAACATTTAAATATTAATATTTACTAATATCTGACTTAGTCTTATTCTTATAAAATATCCCTTTTATATCTCATCTTATAACCTTTCTTATTTACACTGACAAGAACCTACTTCTAGATTACTTTCTCTAATACATATTATTATATTGGTCTTATAAATTTCTATATTTAATAACAAAAAATATAAAGAGGTTTATAAAAATTACTATTAAAAAGAACTAAATTATGTTATTAATCTTATCAGTTATATTTATTAATATTGTTTTATTCTTAAATTCAAAAAATATTTGTTTTTTCTTCTCTTGAAATAAATATCTTTACTATTGTCTTAAAGTTTTGATTATTGTTTTTAGTTAAGATAACTGATTCTTAATTTGAATTTATTCCTTTATTAAGCAAAAAGGTGAGTAATTGTAATACTCTTTTCAGAGAAATACTTTAGAACAATGAGGGATAATCAATATCAAGCACAAAATTATTTTTATCTAAATGACACGGATAAAATAATCAAAAAAAAAATTTAGTTTGATTAAACTCATTTAGAGTGTTCATTAAAATTAATGTATTAATATTAATAAGTCAAAAAAAATATGAAAAAAAAACAGAAGAAATAAAAGATTGAATGATTTTAATAATGAAATTAAACAAGATGAAAAAGTGAAAAACAAAAAATATAATAACACAAAAAATAATGATAAAATAAAATAAGAAATTAAAAAAAGGAAAAAAATAAAAGAAGAACTCTGTTTCAAAGAAAATAATGGCTCAGACTATGAGTTGTATTGATATGATAAAAATGATGGATATAGATGATAGTTCAGAAGATTCTGAAACTACTTCACCAAATGAAGAGACAGATATTGCATCTGTAAAATATAAAACATATTTAAGTATTACAAGTTCTCAAGTACATAAAAATCTCCATGCACTTCGGTACTTACAAAAGGAGTCATCAAAAAATATATTTGATTATTATCGAGTTTGTAGTTCTGAGGAACTTATTTTAAAAGACCAAGAAAAGAAAAGTAATGAAGAAATGATGTTGTGGATTGAAGGAAAGAAAGAACTTTCTATCCCAGAACAAATGAAATTTGTTGTTGACCGATGGAATACACCTTCTAATACTGCAAAGTTTAAAGGTATTCCATGTTTTTGGGGAAGAATTATCAAACGGTTACCATATTTTACACCAAATACAAAAGAATATCCAATTATTGAGTTTATTAAAAATATTGATGTTATCAAAAAACCATTAAGCATTATACAAAATGGATTTCAAGTAAAATATCAAATCATATTCCAATATAATGAAAATGAATATATTTCTAATGGTGCTTCAGTTGAATTAACTTATGTATTACCTAAGGAATTTCCAATCAATCAAATTACTGAACCAAATGTTTCAATTATTAATGACAATACGTGGAAAAATAAAATTGAACTTGAAGAAGGAGACTTGTCTCAAAAAACAAATTTTTTTGCTGTATTTAACACAGATAATAAAGACAAACAATTTATTTATTTCTATACATTAGCTAAAGAGTGTGTTACAAATAAAATGCGTTGGTTTGATGATTCTATTGTTCAAATAAAAGATATGAAAAATTTAAGTTGGAGTTCTATTAAAGAATTTGACTATGCCAGTGAATGTGGAGATAGACTAATTGATGAGAAAGCATCGCTCCCTTGCGTACAACAATAATAAATTCATTTTTATGATAAATTAGATATTATAGTAATTTTATTATAAAATTATAATAAAAATAAAAAAGAATTTTAAAAGAAAAGAATAAAAACTTAAAAATAAAAGGAATCTTAGAAAAATACTTTTTACTACTATGCAAACAAGCAGTTTTCTATTTTTTATTTGTTTATGCACTGCTACGATATGTAATAATAGTAGAGTATTTACTATTACCAAAGAAAAATCAGAAAGTATATTTCAATTAATGTATGGAAAAGATAGAAGGATTGGGGCTATTGGATGTAATAACCATCAACAACTTGCGGCATGGATAAATGTAGTTAACAAGACACCACAAGTTCTCAAAGTACAAATGAGGTATTATTCAAAAAAAAGATTAAAAAAA